CCGGCCGCCCGCCGCGCTGGGGGCTGGCAGCGCCGGCTCAGCCACTGACGTATGTTCAGGACAATCTGAGCGATGACAAAGTTTTTCATCCGGCTGCCTGCAGTTCCCTCTGCACCGCCCCTGCGGCTGCGGGGAGGGGTACGGGCCTGGTGGGTCCCCTGGGTGCCGTGGGAAGCGCTGGGCTGGCGGCACGGCCGGACGCGCGGCTGGCACCGCCGGAGCTCGGCCGCGCTCGGCATGGGGCTCCGGCTGCCTCTGCGCCGGAGCACCAGCTTCACCCCCGACCACCCTGCCCTCATGGAGCTGCCCGGCCCCACTGCCCTGAAGATGGAAGCAAACGTCCTTGTCATGGGAGCGGACAACGTAGGGAAATCAGGTGAGAACTGACCGTGAGCTGGAGCAGGGGGTTCCCAGGCTGAAAGCAGCAGTGCCTGGAGGAGCAGTGGCAGGGAGCAGCCCATGGAGCAAATGGGTGAGATGGGGCTGAGCCCTAGGGTGCAGCTGTAAAGCTGAGCACAACCTTGTAGCCATCCGGGGAGTGACAAGGGAGGGTTATTTTCCACTGAGCTGCAGTTTGCTGATGCTCCGGATCGTGCAGATGCTTTGCTTCGTGCCGTGCCTCTGCTGCACTCACAGACCCGCTGGCAGCTGGGGAAACTCAGAGGTCATCCCTGTTTGTAGGAGTTTACAAGGGAATGGTGCTTGACTCTGCTCTGGATTTAGAAAGGAGAATACTCCAGGTTTTGGGTTACTCTGATGATTCCTGTCCTTCCCTCTGCAGCTCTAACTGTGCGTTTCCTGACCCGGCGCTTTATTGGAGAGTATGGAGACATGGGTGAGTGCCCGGCCAGTTCCCAACAGGGATTGGGGTCGAGAGACAACCCTGCTTCTGCCTGTGGGATTTCATTGCAGCCCATACTCTCCTGCCTTTCTCCAAAGCCTTTGCCTGCTCCCAGGGGCTCGATGTTGTATTTGTTCAGTGACCATCTCTTTGCTCCAGAACTGCTTCTCTGGGGTGTGAAAGGTCCAGGGTGGCAGCTGGTGACACCATGAAGATGACTATTTTCTTTTTCTTTTTTGGGGGGCAGAATTCATCTACAGCCACAACCTGACTGTGGATGGCCGAGAGATTCTCTTACACATCTGGGACGTCCCCAATTCCCAGGTGAGAGAGCTCCACTCCTATCACCCGTTTCTACCCCAGGACAAAAAAACCCTTTACTGGAAGTTACCTATGGGGAGCCACAGGCTGGGAGGGCCAGTTGAGCAAGGCCTTATGAACCTCAAAGGGTTCATAAGAGACTGAACTCTTCTCACCTGCCAAGCACAGGACAGCAGTGTTGCTGGCAGGGTGGAAATAGTTACCATAGCCCATGGCCCTCTGGCTGAGAATACTGCAGCTGAAGCACTGCTTCTAATACAGGACTGTGCTAAAGTGCTGCCCTGAGGTCCCCACACTGTTACCACCTGCAGCCTGCAGTGCTTGGCAGCTGGGTGAGGGTTAGGATTAGACTGAAAGCTGAATCATTCCCTCTTGGTTAGTTTTGCCAGGTGCTGCTCTGCCCTTCATGGTACTCCTCTTTCTCTCTGCCCTTTTGCTGTTCTCTAGCTGTCCCTGTCCCAACAGGCTCAGGATTGCACTCTTCTAGCAGGCAGGTGTGGAGGGAGGGAGGGAGTCCAATGAAACAACCCTTCCTCTTCTCTTTCCCCAGGAGCAGGCAGAGGATGGCTCTTCAGAGGAGAAGCGAGTCCAGTGGGCAGACAGCTTTGTCCTGGTCTACAGTATCTGTGACCGTGCCAGCTTCAACATCCTGCCCCTCAAAATCCAGTTCATCAAGGCAGCCAAGGAGGGGCAGAGCCAGGAGAAGGTGCCCATTGTCATTGTGGGCAACAAACGGGACCTGCACCACCAACGGGTGGTGTCCAGCGAGGAGGGGCGGCTCCTGGCCCTCTCTTTAGACTGCGGTTTCTATGAGGTCTCTGCAGCTGAGGCTTATCACGGCGCCCTCATGGTCTTCCATGGACTGGCCAAGCTCATCCCAGACACCAAGCTGGCCCTGAAGAAGGGTACAGGGATCCGTGGCATCGTCAAGACCATGTCGGCTGTGTTTGCCCGTAAGCGAACAGACTCCCTCTGAGCCACTGCACGGATGCTGCTGCTCTCTGTGCTGCCCAGCTGGGCCAAGCCTCCTCGCTGGGTGCCCGTGGAGATGGTGCGTGTTTTTCCAGAAGTATGATGGGTTGTTCCTCGCTGTCCTCCCAGTGTCAGGTTCTGGGTGTCCTGCCGTGCACAGCCAGGGCAGCCAAGGACTGTAGTGTGTTACTCTTGGCTCTGCCGTGGGACAGTCTCATCTCTTTGCTGTACCAGCTTTTTAGGTGCCTCCTGCTTTCTCCTTCTATCCTCCAACACTGGAAACCACGGGGGGATTTTGTCAAAGCCCCAGGCAGCAGCATCTCTAGCTCCTGCAGCAGGAGCTGCCCAGGCTGTCAGCCATTAGGGAGGATATTCTGCTCTTGTACAGCACATGACTCCCTGCCTCTCCATTCCTTCTCTGGGATCCCTATTCCTGTTTAACCCTCATCAGAATCCTCTTCAGTAACCCTGAAGCACCCATGAGCTGGGGAGATGGGGTTTTCTCCACTGGGGAGGCGCTGGCAGTTCCCACATGTGTATCACCGTGTGAGAGTGTCCCAGAGCCCAGGACCATCCTGCAGGACTTTGGTGAGGGCCGGCACCTCGCATCCCCCTGCTTGTGAACAGTCCTGCTCACGGCCCTCTGCCCCGCAGCCTTTCAGCGATCACAGCCCTTTCCATTGTGCTGGTGAGCGCTGTACAGGCTGTGCCTGGGAAAAGCCAGGCTCAGGGCTCGTTCCCAGGATGGGAATTGCACCACCAACCTTCCCAAGCCACTGCTTCTGTAAGGCTGCCTGTCCCCGGGGAGGAGGGGGGCTGGGGAAAGGGGTTGCTGGGCTCGTCGCTGAACCCTTCTGCTGCTGGGAGGCTTTTCCCTGCCTCTCCCAAACCCTTCTCTTTTTGCCCTGGGAAAGCAGTGTATTGGAAGAGAGTTTGTGCGTGCTGTAGGGACACTGATTTCTCTGCTGTGTTCTTCTGGAAATGCAATAAATTGTCTTTGGCAGGAAGCCCCGGCTCCTTGGAGCTGTGAATTTGTACTTGGGGCATGGGAAGAGACACGTACCATGCTGGGCATGCCACTATCCCAGTGGCAGCTACCCACAGGGAATGTAACGGGATGTTTTCCACACCCACTCCCTTGGCCCTGAGTCAGGGGTCTCACCCCACTCTGTTCCCTTGGTTTGGTGTCTCACTCCCACAAAGAAGCCGAGCAGATGGGGTGAGTGGCAGGTGGTTTATTATTGCAGGTTTATTATTGCAGCAGATACAACAAGGTGTTGTGGGAAGCCAGGTGATCCTGTGGGAGAGGGGCTCCAGGAGCTCCACCTGTTCTCACCAGACTTTTTCCTGACGCCACCATCCATCCCACCACCAGCTGGGAGGGAAGTGCCCAGGGCTTTCCCACTCATGAATCCTGCTGGTTGGTGGGGATCTTCAGTCCCTCCATGGAGGAGCAATCTGTGCCTAGGGATGGGCCCTGCAAGGGGGGATGGAGGGAGAAAGGGTGGGGAGACAGGCTTGCTATGGTGATGTTTGACAGCTTTGCCATCCTCCCTGCTCTCTCTCACTGCTGTTCTCAATGTGTAGCCAGCCCATCTAAGTTCACTCTGTCTGCTGAGCAGGGACCAAGGTTGCCCAGTGCCAGCCCTGGGTGGTCCCTTCTGGTCTCACCACTCTTTCCAAGTCTCCTTCAACTTCCTAGTCCCACCTTCCCCTACCTTCTCCTTCCAGCAGCAGGGCTTCTCGTTGCCTTTATTCCCCCATCCTGGCCTTGATGCACTCCAGAATAAGCTATCCCATGGCTTGTCCTTTAAGCTCCTGTCCTGGAACAGGGGTGTGTGTGGGCAGCTGGCAGGGGCCCAGGCAAAGCGTGCTGAGGGGTTTTGAGAGGGGCTGGGATGTGCTTGTCCCGCCTGCTGGCTCAGTCCTTCTTGAAGACAGGACTGTAGAAGTTGCCGTAGTAGGCCCGGCTGTACATGGACTCGGGGCTGAAGCGGTAGGAGCCCTCGCTCACCCGCCTGTTGTAGGGGGAGAAGGCGGATTTCCGTGGGAATGGGTAGTCGGGGTCGAAGGCAGGGCTGCGGTAGTAGTTGTGCCGCAGGAAGAGGGGGTCCTCGAGCCCCAGGAAGGAGAGGGGGTGATGGCCACGGTACAGCCGCCAGTCGCTCCTCAGCTGGGATTTCTCCTCAGTGGAGGGGACAGCAGGCTTGGTCTCCTCCTCCTCCTCCTCCTTCTTCTCTTTCTTCTCCGTGTCGGTCTTGCTGCCCCTGGGTGCTTCTTCTTCCTTCACTGACTGCCTGCGGAGCTGAGAGATGGGGTGAGCACCCAGCCAGGCTGTACCCACCTGCCAGCCCTGCTTCACCTGTGCCACACAGTCCCTCCCTTTAACTGGGAGAACCTCAGGAGCAGCCAGTTTGCCCCCAGAGTGGAGGGGAGTGGGTGGCTTGAGGTCCCTTGAGCAGCTGTGGTGAAGAAATGTTCCCAGGGGAACAACAGGCTGAGGTAAAGGAGAGAGAACAGGGTCTCATCCTGAACTTTCACCTTCCTGGGAATGTGGTCACACCTTGGCTTGGGCATGAACTGTGTGAAGGTGTCACCACTGTCTGACCCATCTGTTCTATTGGGGGACTCGCTATCATGGCTCCGGGGATGCTCAAGAGAAGGGTGGGACTGAGGTGTCTTCATGGCAGCCCCTCTCCCCAGTCTGGTACCCCCTGACACTGCCTGCAGCTATGGGGTGCTCATGGGAGGAGATTGAGCAAAATGGGGTTTGCTGGGGATGGGCAGGGCCTGTCTGGGGGCAAACTCACCGGCACGTAGCTGTACAGGGTGCCCAGCAGATGCTTAGGGGCACTGACAAGGGTCCCCCCGAGAGCATCCACTGTCTCCATGGCCCTGGACAGCCTGCGGGGGGTGAAGAGGATCAAGCCCTCTGCTGCATCCCAGGCCACGGCTGGGACCTTCTTCATGCTGGAGATGCTGGAGGCGCAGGCGGTTTGCAGGTTGTGAGCCACGCTGCCCACCAGCCCGGGGTCCTGTCCCGCCTGCCCGGAGAAACCAGCTCAGCTCCTGGCCAGGGCCTCTGCCCCACCAGCCCCTCCAGGCAGGACACGGTGGCCCTGGTTTCCCCATCCCCTTTGCAGCTTGAAGCCTGAGAGATTTCATCTCGCTGCTCTGCAAAAGCCACCACAGCTCTTTGCAGCAGGGTCTCTCCCTGTCCCAGCCAGCTCCCCCCGCTCCAGGCCCCAGGGGACCCTCTGCTCGAGGCTGTGCTTCCGCTGCAGGCAGAGACAAAGGGCACTGACCCCAACCTGCTGCTTCCCGTCCCCAGGTCCCAGCGGAGCCGATGCTGGAGATTGTTCCCAGCCCCACTGGCTCGCAGCACCCCTCGCTGCTGGGACCACGCAGGGGATTTTTCTGGGGTGTTCTCTCAGTAGGGAGTTCAGTGCTGACATCCCACAGCTCCAAAGGTATTTTGAACATACAAGCCAGGGTGACTGTGCCTGGCACAGAGGCTGCCCACAGACCCCAGCTTTGGGGAATCAGAAGGGGACTCCTGGGGCTGCCCCACTGCCAACCCCCTCTTGCATCCTCCAAACTGCACTTCAGGGTTGAGCAGGGTTGGGGACCTGGTCCCCAAAGGTATGGGGGAATAGCCACCATGCTTGCATGGTCCATGGGTAGGAGGATGCTTTGGAGCATTCCTAGCTCACTGCTCTGCTTTTCTCCATACCTTGGTGTGGTTGGTGTCTTTCTTCCCTGCCTTCTCCTTCTTCTGCTCTGGTGCCTTGCTCGGGCGCCGGGTCAGCCAACCCGCGCTGCCCTGCCCATCACTGCGGGCCTGAGGGGCCACGGGGGCACTCGGCTTGGCCAGGCTTCCCTGCAAGGGGAGCAAAAAGCCACCACTCAGAGAGAGCTGGCTGGTCCCATCCACTCCATCCTGTTTAGTCTGAGGATTTCACAGGGGTACACAGAGAGCAGGGATTTGTGCATCTGGGGAGAAATCCTGAGGGCAGATGGGAGCTCTGGGATTTTGTCACAGGCCAGGGAAGATGTTCCCACTGCAGCATGGGGTAGGAAAAGCACCTCCTTCTCCCCATCCTCTCTGGGTCTCTGCAGGGGCTTTTTGCTTCAGGAAGGATGTTATGGCAAGGCCATAAATCAACAATAACACACTGGGAGCCTGCTAAAAATAACTTGTCCCAGTAATGTGGTACATGGTTATGTGTGAACATCAAGCAGGAACTGCCAGCCCCAGCTTGTCCTGCTGAGCGGGGGAAATGTACTCTGCTCAGATTTTCTCTAAGGAGCCTGAAAAGTCCCATCTGAAAGGAAAATCAGCTGAAAAGAGGATACAGAGGAGCAGGAGCCCAGCAGGTGGGTGCTGGCACTCACCAGGATGGGGATCCAGGAGGCCAGCTCCTGCCCTTTGGTTTTGGCACGCTGGAGGCTTTGGGTGGTTTGCTGGTAAGCGCGGTGGGACACGGTGCTGACCAAAGCTCCAATCCGGCCCAGGGTGCTGGGAGCACTGGGAGCGCTGGGAGCGCTGGGAGCACTGGGAGCGCTGGGAGCGCTGGGAGTGCTGGGAGTGTTGGGAGCACTGGATGCCCTGGGAGCACTGGGAGCCCTGGGAGCACTGGGAATGCTGGGTGCCCTGGGACCACTGGGAATGCTGGGTGCCCTGGGAGCACTGGGAGCGCTGGGAGCACTGGCAGCACTGGGAGCTCTGGGAGCGCTGGGAGCACTGGGAGCGCTGGGAGTGGTGGTAGTGCTGGGCTGCCGCTGGGAGACCTTCGGTGTTGACAGATGTTTCTTTTTGGGCTTCTTATCTAAAGGTAGAAAAGTACAGGCAGAAGAATAGTGGAAGGGTTACATTCGGGTAGAACAGCCCTCCTAGACAGCCTTATGCCAAAATTCAGGGGCTGCCTCCTGCCCCATGCACCTCACAACTGGGGAGCCACTCAGCCAGTTTTCACCAGACTCCCACAGAGGGGATTTGGGCATCAGGACTACCTGCTTCTTCATCCTCCTCTGGCAGCAGGTATTCCATCAGCTTCTCCAGCCCTCCCAGGGCTGTGTCGACCCCCGCAGCTGCCATCTGGGTCACTGAGTTCTTCCTGGTGTACTTAGCTGTTGTTTCCACTGTGCTCTTGGTGGCCTCATAGCCCTCCGCTGCCAGCTCTTTGATCTTATCCATGGAGCTGCCAATGGTGCTTTTGGCACTTTGGAGGGGACAGGAGATGGTGTCCTTCAGTTCAGATGCGAGCTGTGGGCAGAGAGATGGAGAACAGCCCCACTGGTGTGCATGGGGTGCTGTGGGGCAGGCACAGGGACCGCAGGACCCCAGCCATGTCCATGCCAGTAAACATCTCCAAAAGGGGCATAACAGCTCTCTCCAACCTGGGCTGGAGGTATCTAGCACGGATGGGACACAGGATGCTATTGAATTATATTTGGGAGCCCCAGCCATCGTTTAGGCTGCAGAAGACCTTGGAGGAGCCCTGACTTGGAGATGCTGCCTTGTTTCCCAGCCAGCAGCCTCTCCCCAGAGAGAAACAAGAAACAAGAAACAATCCAGAAACAAGACTAGAGGAGATGTACTGTGGGCTCTTCAGAGGGGCTGGGGGGACCCAGACTGTCCTGCCTGTGACTTACCTTGTCGACAGGGTACTGGAGGGCAGGGATCTTCTCCTCTAGGTGATCCAAGCCCCGACAAGCCAGGTTGTTGGCCACAGCGACTGCCTTAGGCAAAAGCATGGTAAGAAAAGCACCTGGGCTGTGCCAGGCACGTGTTCGTGCCAGCGCTGTCCCACCTGGGAGGCTCCGGTGGGCCCCCCTGCCACATCCCCCCGGCACAAGGACTCACACTGCGGCTCCAGCCGGCGCACCACGGGCTCCATGCCCCACATGGCCAGGGCACCGGCGCCCTGCACGCCCCGCTCGTACACCTCACACACCGAGGCCATCAGCGGGTGCGACTCCTTGGTGCTGCTGTACTTCCGCTGCA